AGAAAAATCTCTTCGACCCCGTCCAAGAGGGTTAAACACACCCCTGATATAAAAAAAACCTTAAAGTATGAAGGAAACGAAAAGCCACTTTGAAATCAATACGATTGATTTGTATCACTATTATCTATATTCGGTATAAAGGAAAATCTCTTCGGCCCCGTCCAAGAGTGTTAAAGACACCCCCGAAATGAAAAAAATTATTGAAGTATGAAGGAAACGAAAAGCCAACGAATGATTTGTATCAATATATTCTTTATTGGGTATAAAGGAAAATCTCTTCGGCCCCGCCCAAGAGGGTTAAACACACTCCAGATATGAAAAAATACTTAAAGTATGAAGGAAACGAAAAACCACTTTGAAATTAATACGAATGATTTGCATCATTATATTCTATATTCAGTATAGAGGATAATCTTTTCGGCCCCACCCAAGAGCCCAACCAGCAAAGTTGTTTTATAATTCCATAGTGTTGCAACAGTTTTATTTTATTACTATTTTATAATAACTTCCAAAATGCTAATTGATTATATTAGATGATCGGTGAACACAATACAGTTGTAGGCAAAATGATGACAAATTCAGGTACAGCAAGGTACCATAAACCACGGTGTCCCATAAAAGATACATAATTCTGGCTTTTCCATACTTTCTGTGACAACTTGTTTGAATGAAAATAACCCTGCTTGCTTTTTGGGTTGCATAGAATTGATAATTTCTTCTTGTTCTGTATCGTCATTCTCCAGCTTTCGCTCTAATAGTTCTTCAGCAATTTGGTAGGTCATCAAATGACTTCGGTTTATTTTATGAATTCGTATAATCTCATCAGCATCAATTTTTGGCCATGAGAGTTGGTTATTATTTACCCATGACAACGGAACTATGGTGAATATATATACCTAAAACTTAGAAAAAATGAGTCAAATCCAGCTTCAAACAGACAAAACTATCAACTGAAAATATAGGCCTGAATTATCAAATATTTGGTCAATTATTGAAGCTAATTAAAAGATATATTTTTACATCAAAAAACTCACCCGTCATTTCCTCTAAACGCACGATAAATTTAATATCAATAATATTTCATCGGCGTTCATATAGGTTATGTTTAATATTCACCATGTATTTAGCATTAGACAACGGATATTTATCATGAAAAAGATAATATGTGATGAATATAAGTAATTTATATTATAAGAGCCACCAAAGTGTCGTTTATTAGCAAAAATGTTGCCAACTAACTTATGACTTATAGTTGTGTTACAACCCAGAACTGAGTGTTTCTTAACAGTTTTATAGGGGTAACGTAGTAGCTAAAATACCTTGAAATGCTTGCTACTGATACCAATTTATTTTATAGAACGACGCCATTTTAAATGATAGAGATCCGGGATACTGAAATTAGATGAGTTGAAAATATGAAATACCGCACATATAGTGATATTTACAGCTGAAAAGTACATAAATATTATAACATTATATTATTTAGAATAAAGTGAGTCGAGTTTGCGACTAGAAAATTAATACGTCGACAGAGTGAATTGATAATTTTACCGAAAACATTTATAAATGAGTGGCGCGCTTAAAATTTGCTAATAATAGGCTATATATTTGTCAATGAAATTTCATTTGCAGTAAAAATATCAATCTTCTTCGAAACATAAACAATGTCTTTAACAGTTTTATGAATGCAGATGTGAAATTTTAAAATGGCTTCAATCTTTCTATTTGTTAGTTTTCAGTTGGTGACATATCTACTATATTTTCCTAGTGTCCAATACAAAATTACTTCTTGCGTCTTCAAGAAAACATTTTATAACGCTTACTTGGAACTACTAAAAAACTCTTATATAATTGTCTTCTGATTATTTTATAAGTATCGCTTGAATATGTTGCAAAAGTACAGTAAGGGAAGTCTTTACAAAACTACTTTTTAAGAGTGTTAGACAAATTTTATAGTAACTGCCAAAATGTTTATAAAACTGTTTTGTAGTGTTTGTAAAAGGCCTTACAAAATATTGATAAAAACTATAATGTTTCATAAAACGGTGCCAATTTCTTATTTATAGCAGTTTTATAAACATATTGAAAACATTTCTGGGAGAAATGCAGTTTTATAATTTGTTTCTCCGAAACGTTTCCGCAACTATTATAAAATACGAAATTGCTAGTTGGGATAGAGCGAAGAACCCTGAACATTAATCGCAAAATACGTTGAATATATTTTCACAACCCTTGTGTCAGTTTTGAAAATGATGAATGTTTACTGTGCAATATTTTTCTTACTGCTAATGGATCAATTTCGAGTTTAAGTGAATCTATAGTGATAGATTCTCAGTATTATAGTGATAATACTGAGATTGTTTCTCATTTTCTATTGTTTACACAAGGTGTCATTATATGAGTCTTGTCATTTCAAATTTCCACTTTATGTTTTCACCATAAATTACAGACTATAATTTGAAATTGAAGTTACTATTGTTAAATATTCTAATATACAATATTATTTATACGTTCAGTTATATATTTGAAAGTTTCATTCAATTTAGTATCGGAAGTTGCGTTATTTCTATATTCTATTTTTGTTATTTTTATTGTGGAATAGGCCTACTGGAGACAACACAAACAAAAAATCGCGTCTGTCACTCAATCGCAAGGTGAGGAGGTCGAATTATTTGGGTGTTTTTTCTACCCGGCAAAATATTCGGAGATATAGGTCTCCTTCAGCACCTTTCATAGTTATGTAATCATGCAAAAATATCCCCTTTCACGAATATTTTGTAGGAGTCATTGAATTTTGTTTAAAAAGCGTATGAGGGTGTGTGAGGGTTTTTGTTCTATCCCGCAGAATATTCTGATATATAGGTACTACAAAATAAAGTATCATTCGGAAACACAAAATAATTCTAACTTCTTCAAAATAATATCATATTTATAATATCTATAACGATAGTAATTACCAAATGTCAAGTCTTTTCAATAAGGTCACACTATATTTTTGTCAGCTTCAAGTGATTGATTAATCCCTTCATATAGCTGAAATTCAATATCACGTTTCGCAATTGCTAAATACTTGGTATCATCACATACCAATTATGTAACTAGCTACAGGGAAATAATTCCGGATCATATTCATCTGGATAAATTGTCTTCAAAAGAGTCAGTTGTCTTCTTCGTTCTTGACTGTATTTACTAATATTGCAACTTAGAGGTTGTTTTAATTTATAGTTCCATGATTTTCGATAAGCTACAACCTACAGCCAAAAAATTATTGGTACGTGCGCAGTAAAAAGTAGTTACAAAATATCAGTGGTTTCTATTCAACTATGTTTCATATTCAATTCAACACATGTAATGTACATTTTGTCCATTTGGGTCTATGTATTTTTTCAACAACATTTTCCACAGCACTGGATTGCAAAAATGGACAGCTACACGGTTTTGAACATTAAGATACTTTGAACCATAAATGAATAAATACATAAATATATAAATTATTTCACATATATGCCTACTTTCCATATATCATCCCACTCGGCACGCTGAAAATACCCACGATTATTGAGTTTTTTTGTTGACCCAGTTTTAGATTTTCAGGAATGAAACGGGTGGAGAAAGGGTCAGAAACTAGTCAAATCTACTTCAATTCAACCCAACGTTTAGGTTTTTCATTAAATCCTAATCATGGGTACATTACCACAGTTTGTGGATATTAGCTTTTTAGAATTTTTAGAGCTTGGAATTTATATTTTGGATGATACCGAAGTGATATGTACCTTTGATTCGTTTCCTCTTAATTTCATGCATCAATTGTCTCGCTAGTTATGAACTGTTGAATTTGGCTATCTTTGTTTATAAAAACTCCTTTGATTGTTCACAACTTAGAACTGAGATTATTAACGGGTTTTATATATGAGAGATGCTACATTTCATTCGTTCTTAGCTGAATAATCAACAAACATGTAGGGTGAGCCACTTAAAAGTATTTTTCATTTATAGGAAAAAGAAACAATTAGACTTTTCCATTGATTCTCAGTGCTGAGAATGAATTTCCTTTAATCAGGAGGGAAGATTTGGAGGAAACCAATCCAAATATATTAAGATCCACTAAAAACGGTCATTCAAAAGAAAAAAACATATTTGAGTGCCTCAGTAAGAAAAGAAGCTCTGCCACAAAATTGACTTTTTGAGAAAATTAAGGTTTCATTGAAATAGGTCAAAAATACACAAAAATTAATATTCATTTTGAAAATGAATATGGGGATATTGCACACTTCCAAGAAGTTCGTATTGAGGTCCCTACAAGTAGCAGCATGATCCGGAACCATTAGAATAAAAAAAACTTGTTCAACGTTCATTGCCCCTATTCAGTTATTCTTGCCTTTGATTAGGCGCACCATCGGAGAGTTTTCTGAACCATTGTATCGTTGTTATCATGGTTTTACCGTATTTTAAATGTGAAACGTAGATTTGAAAACTTTATCTCTTTCTCTAACGCTGCCTAAGTTTTATATACTACCGAATGGCCTCCGGTTCATGAAAGCCGGTAATAAAATCCTTTATATACGCCTGTGGAACAAACGGTAGTGGTTTTTGATATATACTTCCGAAAGAGCAATGAAATGCAACGTAATCGTGTAAAACACAAAATTTCAGGTCATTACGTGTAAAACTTAAAATAACGATGGAAGCGTAATCAGAGAGAGATTCATTACCAAACAATGAAGAACTGATAAACGGAAAAAAATGAAAATGAAAATTTTTATGAACCTTTCAACATGTTTTTGGGATATCAAAACTACCTTATAATAGGTACAAATATTCAAAGCCATCTACACTCACTTCGAAGCAATCTACAAAAAATATTATTTGGTAATGCAAAGTTCGGATAGCAGGTATTGAATATGGTGCAGTGCCACCGGTGCCAACGTTGGAACCATTCAACAAATAACTGCTTCAGAACACCAAAATGCCGAAAATGTGCAGAGGAACATCAGACATACCAGTGTCTGAAACCCAGGAATGAACCGGCCAGGTGCGCAAACTGTGGCGGAGACCACCCTGAGAACTCTTGAGATTGTCCAGTCTACCGAAAGCGCGAGGAGGATGTCGAAGCCCGACGGGTTGCACGGCAACCGAAGGCACGACAACCGGCCCCAAAGTTGATACCGACATCTGTACCAAAATTGAATGTCAGAGAGAGCGGGGCCTCTAGCAGAAATTCCCACCAACCTGCTACTGGTTTGCTTCCGCTCCCCACCCTTCACCTGTGGAAGGCGGGCGAACATCTAACACCGTAGGGCCAACGCCACGGTTGGAGCCCAATAGAGCCTTGTGGAAGCAACCAATTGCAATGAGATGATTAATCTTGCAGAAATCATCAGGGCGACAAACGACTTGTGTAAGCTGATGGTGGGAGCCCAAACCCCCCTGGAAAAGTGGAATACGTTCACGACGTTCGCTGGTGGTATCCCTGAATATAATTTATAAATGCAAATAAAGGCATGTATGCTGAATGTGAACGGGATTGGCAACAAATACCCCAGTGTTGTCAATTTCATTCACACACATAAGGTGGATAAAATGTTTCTGTCTGAAACGAAGCTTCGGCAGGAGCACAAACTGAAGCTACGCGATATTATCACCGTCCGGGTAGATCGCTCCGATACGGTGAGAAGCGGTGGGGTAGCTATCATCATCAGAAAAAGTATTGCAACATATCGAGAGATGATAGCGATTTGATCTGTGAGCAGTTCGTCGAAAACATTCAAAATTCCAGAGGTCTGAAAGGAAGATAGTGGTGAAAGGACATCGAGATGTCCTCCCACTAGATATTGTTAAACTCATTAGGTTGAAGAACATGCAGCGAAAAATGTAGCAGCACACACGAAAACCGCGCTAGAGGAGAGTTGCCAAAATCATACCGTCCTCTAAATCGTACCACATTAATTTTAATACGAAATAGAGTGACTACATCGTTCGTACGGTGCTACCAACAAGTACTGCTTAATTGTAGTGTCGAGACTAAGTTTGATGCGTGTGCGGTTACTCTTTAAGTTGTTGTGAAAGATTTCCTGATTTGGAGCTAGTTGAGTTTTGGAAACTTTTTCGTAAGAACGTAGTGACTGCCAAGGTACGTACTGATATTATTCATTATTAATTTGTAAAACTAACACTAATATTGAGTGTTTTAATCAGCCGGATTATGCTTCCACGAGTGTGTGATATTAGAAATAAGGTAATGTTTTCGGAGAGTCCCAGTTGCCTTAATCGTACCTCTAATGGTTTCTCAAATTGTACCGGTACAATTTTGGAGCTTATTAAATACCATGATAGATATTCGTCATTTTTTGTATGTGAATACTGATTTATTGCTGGGATTAGTTTGTTTTTTAAATAAATAAAGTAGCGTACTTGATTGTAACACAATTTTTGTGTACGGAATTCCAAAACCGACACTTAAACGTCATTTAGACAGTAAAAATATAAAGGCCAATGAAGGTGCCAAAGCTATGTGACGTCACCCTACATTATCTAACGATGTAGAACAACAGCTTGTAGACCATCTAAAATACTAGAAGAGTGTTTCATTGGGCTCACAATAACGGACTTGCGTAGACTCAAATTGTTGTTAGAAATGGTATCCCTCACGCAATCAATGACGAGAAACGCTGGTAAAAAATGGTATTACAACTTCATGAAACGTCACAAAGACATCTACCTTCGTGAGCCTCAGGCTACATCCTTGGCAAGGGCACAAGGGTTTTCTAAAGACAATGTCAAAGAATTCTTTGACATTTTGGAAAATACTATTGATGAAAATAAAATTCATGCAACTACTATTTTTAACATTGACGAGACAGACGTGAGCACCGTACAAAACAAATGACAGAAGGTGAAAGCTGAAAAGGGGAAACGTGCTGTAGGATCGATATCTAGTGGAGAAAGAGGTGTCAATACAACTGTTGTGTGCTGTTCAAGTGCAGCAGGCATGTATATTCCACCCCTGATTATTTTCAAAAGAATGAGGATGTGTAATGAATTGATAGTTGGAGCCCCACCTGGAAGTTGAGTTGATGTGTCAGAGAGCGGATGGATAAATTCAGATCTGTTTGTAAAGTGGCTTCGTCACTTCATTGATATTGTAAAGCCAAACAAAGAAATAAAAGTTCTTCTCCTTCTTGATGGCCATTCTACTCATTCTAAGAACTTAGAAGCATTGGTAGTCGCTCGAGATGCTGGAGTAATTATGCTGCAATTACCACGACACACAACGCACCGACTGCAGCCATTAGACAGGTCATTTTTCAAGCCTTTCAAAAGTTACTTTGCCCAAGCGGTTGAAAAATGGCTGCGAACAAATCCTGGCTTGAAAGTCACTCAATACCAGATTTCACAATTAGTAACTGAAGCATATGGTAAGGCTTCGATGATTGAGAATTCCTGTTACGGATTCAAATGTAGTGGTGTGTGGCCCGTTGACTCCTCCATTTTTAAAGAGTCAGACTTTTTGCCAGCAGAATATCACAACACAACTTTAGATCAGAATCGAGAAGACAGTGAATGTTTAGATCAAGACAAAACTTGCTTGGGTGAAAATCAGACTCTTGATATTGAAGTAACCTCATCTAACTGGCCAACAAGTTTAACTTCAAAACTGAATGTTTCGCTCGAAGAAATGTCTCCACTTCCAAAACCACCCAAAAAGAGAAATGGATCCAAACTCAGATCCAATTCAAAAGTGCAAAAAGTAGTTAAATTAACCAGTAGCCCCTACAAAAATGAAATTGAAGTAGGTCACGAGCTGAAATTGGCTAAAGAGAAGGTCAAAGAGCTCCAGATGAAAATACGGCTATCTTATTGAAGAAGGTTTTTTTTTGTGAAAGGTAGGTTTCGGCGGATGCCTATTTTGCTGCATATTCCGTGTCATTGGTTTACATTCCGAAAAATATTTCTTCAGGTTATTTTTGTATTGAATTTCATCATTACTACCACCAAAATGATAAAAATATGTTTTATACCTAGTTGTAAAATCAGATCATCCATACCAGACAAAAAGTTCTGCAGTGTTAATTGATCGTTCATTTTCTCAGGAAAATGGAGTACCCATGTCAAAATTTATTGGTTAATTCGGCATTGAAAATGTATGTCATATCGGATCCATTCTGTTTGTTTTTGCAACATTGAGTTTCAACTTTTTCTTAGCTGACAGCTCACTTAGGAACACTTCGTTTTTCCATCGAGTTCAGTTGGTGTGTGTTTTGAAAGTGTTTTAGAGATATATATGAATAATTATATGGTGCAATCTTGTGCTGATTTTAATTGTGCGGAAAGGCACAAGAAAACAGAAAGCGCATTGGTTTATAGATGAGTTATTCCATATAATGAGTTTAGGTTCCCAAAGGATGAAATGACGAGAAAAAAAATGGGTGAAAGTATTGAAAAGAAAGAACTACAATCCTTTTACTCTTCCAAAACTTAGAAGCTTATAGAAATCATTCAAAAAGTGACTATAAATGAAAGGGGTACGAAAATATTGATTTTGATGACACAGTTTCTTATTTCAACTTCAAGTATTCTCCACAAAAAGTATTATCTGGAGTTAATATATTTGCAAAAAATCAAATACTTTTCATTTTACTTCATTAAATTTTATCATATGGTTAATGGTATTCCCTCAGAAGCTTTTGTTGGATCAGTTCGAGTACAATCAATTCTGTCTACACTTGACTTCATTCATTCAACCTTCTTATCAAGTTTTGAAAGATTCAACAGATTACCCAAACGAGCCTATAACGCTTGAATTTATTACTTAACAATATTAGAAAAAGGTATGTATGTTGGAATCATTTTTTTGTTATAATAAATTGCAATTGTACAGATTGAGGATTGTAGAATAAATTGAATATTTGAAATGATTCTTCAATCCAGTTTGCTATATTTTTTGATTTTCATAACTGTATATTATTAAATAACGCATAAAGTCATAGTTTAGGTAAATATTTTGTGATCTTTCGACTTTGTGTACTGGTTTTAGATATAGAACTTATTTCAAAATATGATTTTTTGTGTACATTTCAATCCATGTGGAGAATTTTTCATTAATTGAAACGTTAACGGGTTCATATACACTTCCATGATTAAATTGATAATTATAGGCCTCGTAAATTTTACGATTTGGCAATGTTGATTATTTCTATGGTTCCTATTGGTCAATCGAACAAGAAGCGGGATCAGGCCAGTGACGTCACCGGCCTACCATATTTTTATAATTAATTACGGGAAAACTACGGTACTTAGAGAGCTGAAACAAAGGGCACTGTTTTTCAATATGAAATTTCTATCAAGTGAACTATAAACCAAAAATTATGAAACAAGCCCATTCTTTGTGAAGAATGGCTAGGAGGTTAGACAACCGCTTCTAGGCCATACCTACAATATAGAAGGATCAAGTACATAATAATAAAAATAATAAAAACGTTTACTCACGAATTCTTACAAATAAATTTCACAAATACACAATAATACAACATATAGATAGTAATACTACATATAGACAGGTATATAATAAAAATAGGTATATAATAAAATTGATTTGTGAATAAACAAGTGCAAAATCACTCAAGCAGTCATTACGCTGCATGTGTGTGATATTCAAATTACTAAAATTGAAATTTGTCACAATAGTGTGTTTGGCATGATAGTTGGTAAGTAGAAGTATATTGTCATTCGGTATATTTTTACAATCATGTGTTTGGATCATATTTGGTATATTGTCATTTTTGGTTTGTTTCATTTCAATAAATCATAAAAAAAGGTACGCTCATTTTCCATTATCCATTACTTAAGCTCACTTTCATAATAATAAAAGTTCAAAATATTTTTTTAGGTCTTCTGGTATCAACGACCATAATCTGGGCGCGACATAATTTGTGTTCCTTTATCCAATTGTTTTGTCACTTCAAGGAAAAAACAGTTCATAATGTCTTCTCGTATTGTGAGTATGCTTATGATACTTCAGTATTATTATTCCGTTTTTTCAAAAACTGTAGTTTTTTGACAGAAAAGTTAACGAGCATCAATTACTTGAGTATCTTTGTACAGACTTTCGAAAGAATAGCTGATCTTTTTTCCAAAACTTATTTTCAAAATGCATTTCTGTAATACGTTGATTT